TGTTTAGTTTTGTTTTATTGTTTTTATTTGCATTTTTGTTACATATTATTTCCGTGGTTCTATTTATATATCAGTTTTTACATGTTTCTTTGAATTCATATTCATTGTTTCTTAAGGTACGGTAACACCCATTGTATTCATATTATTACAGTTTGTCCATCCATTACGCAGTTGATGGAAACCCACATGGTTTCCAATTATTTGCTACCACAAAAAGTGTTGCTATAATTTTTTGGGTATTTATGGGAACTTTCTGTCTTGGTATGTCCAGTATATACACTTCTCATTTGACAGATGAGAAAACTAAAATCCAGAGAAGTTCAGTGGTTTGTCCCAGGTGAGCCAGCTAATTCACATCAGAGCTGAGACAAGAACCTCTTTCTTCTTGCTTTTCCCAGTCCAGTGCTCTTTCCACTATAACACACTTTCTTTTTTGTTATGTAAATAATTATGAAAATTTACTTTGTTTTTATTTTATTTATTTTGAGAAGGAAAAAAACTTAACAAATTACTATCACAATGACTTCAGGCCAATTTACAAATTATTAGTTCTGGGGAGAAAAGCTTAGTTAGCTTTCAAGTGTAATTTAAAACGTGGATTCAGAAAAGGGTGATGCAGAACATAATGTTTGTTGTTGATAATGGTAAAAATTGATTTTGATTTGTGTCCATCTAGCTCATCTTTGGTGAAATAGTATAATGTGTGAAGCTGAACAGTTTTGTTTTTTTATATACAATGCTTAAAATTTTAAGTGCTTATTTGAAGATTTTCCTATTAATAATCTAATTTATTTTTCTTTTTTTACCAGTTTCTTAAACAATTAGGTCTGCATCCCAACTGGCAATTTGTTGATGTGTATGGAATGGAACCTGAACTCCTTAGCATGGTACCACGACCAGTTTGTGCGGTATTGCTTCTCTTTCCAATTACAGAAAAGGTAAATGTTTGCTAAGACAAAAATTCTTTTTTTTATTGTGAAATTAAATTAAAATTAAATTAAAACTACAATTTGTTTTTTTGAAATAGATACCATTTGTTTTAAAATTAGCAGTTAGTATATCCTTCAGAGAGGCAGATTTTATGGTGGATAGAATGGGAACCTGAAATCAGGAAGATTCAGATCCTTCCTCTGATACTTACTAGCTTTGTAACCATGGTCAAGTTACTTATCCTCAGTGTGCGTCAGTTTTTTAATCTGCAAAGTGTGAATAATAACCTATAATAAGTCATAGAGTTAGAGCATTAAATAAGTGAATATATATAAAATGCTTTGTAAACTTTAAAATACCATGTAAATCTCAGCTATTATTATTATTTGGACATATGAAAAAAACTAATTTAATTGATCAAATAGGATTTTCAGATCCTGATATTCACGTTTATAGTTCAGCATTAGGATCAGATAGGGGCTAGTTAGACCTATCATTTCCCTGGCATGGGGTGGGGGGTATACCTAGATGAGGAAACTACCTAGGCAGGTTGATACCTTCTCTGCAACATAAAATCTTAGAGAGTTGCCTAGGCCCGAAGAGTTTATTAACTTCTGTGTCATTTTCATCATATGTAAAATTGTAATTGTACAAATTTCAAATCTGTGTTCAATTTTTTGGTAAGGTATTCCATCCTGTATTTAACCAAGATATGTGCTGATAGTGCAATCTGATCTGATCTTCAAAAAGATTCTTGGCATTAAGAAAGTAAATTGTCCACATCTAAAGGAAAACACAGTTCTTTATTTAAAGAGCTAAACTGAAACTGCTGTTTCTTTTTGTTGTTTCTTAGAATTTGATAGATCACTTATTTCACTGAAAAATAATAAGGGAAAAAAAGTGATCTATGTCCCCTGCATTTTTCAGTCCTTCACAAAGAATAGCAACAGTAGAAGAATAGAAATGGAGAAATCCAGATGTTAACATGAGACAGTGTCCAAGAAAGATACTTGGAGTAAAACCCAAATGTCTAGATATAAATGCACAAAGTACGTGTAACAAGCAAGAGGAAAAAGAGTTCTTCGCACAAGGTGTCCCAGAAGAACTATACATACTCTGTGGTACTGAAAGAATTGGTGAATACCACTGACAGTTTAGTCACGGTCAGTGGTTTTTGAAAGAGAATGGAGAATGGGACCAGCACTGCAATACTGGAGAGAAAGGCAAATGTTTTCCTGATTTTTAGAAAAGGAAAGGAAAGAAAAGAAAGTGGAATCTAAAAACTGTAGATCATTTAGTTTTACTCTGGTTCTTGGCAAAGTTCTAGACTGTATTAAAGAGATGGCTATTGGACATGTGAAAAAGGAAGCAGGGAATCACAAGAAATCAGGTCATGCTAGACTAACCTTTTTTCTTTTTTGATAGTGTTACCTAACTGGTACCTCTGAGAAATTCTGATTGGGTTTACTGAAATTTTAGTGAAGTATTTGGTGAACTTTCTTGTTTTGTTTAGAAATGTTTTATGCCCTGCTTGAACAATAGAAAGCTTCCTCATAACAATGAAGTACACGTTGCGTGTCTGACGATGTATATGTTTCTTTCTGTACCTAGAGTTTCCCATCTCTTGTGCCAAGAATTGAGAGGTTCATTTCACTGTCAGTCCTTTGAATCCACAGTTGGTCACTCCTCAAAGTTCTACTGTCTTACAGGGTTGTTTTCCTTCACGTTGTGTAGTCATTGAATGTATTTGCTTTTTGTTCTGCTTATGTCACTTCGCAGTAGTTCATAAAGTCTTTCCAAGTTTTTTTGTATGTTTTTTTTTTTTTTTGGCTAGGCAGTAGAGTGAAGTGACTTGCCCAGGGTCACACAGCTAGTAAGTGTCAAGTGTCTGAGGTCAGATTTGAACTCAGGTCCTCCTGACTCCAGGGCCGGTGCTTTCACTGCGCCGCCTTGCTACCCCCGGGTATTTGTTTTATCTTATGGCGCAGTACTGTTCGAATATATTCATATAGCCCGCTTTGTTCAGATATTCCCCAATTGATCCTTACCCACTAGTTTCCATTTCTTTGTTAATACAAAAGTTGGGCTACAATTTTTTTTTTAAATCAATCTTTCTTTCTATTTTTAATCCTCTTGAGGGGGCATCAATAGCTTAAAAAGTAGTTACAATTCAGTGACTTCTAGGATAGTTCCAAATTGTTTTCCAGACCTCTTGTATTGATAGTGCATTAGTGTCTATCTTCCCATAGGTCCTTCAACATTACCATTTTAATCTTTTGTCACCTTTGCTAGTATGATGGTCATGAGATGAAACTTCATGGTTGTATGTAATTTCTCTAGTTATTAATGATTTGGTGTATTATTTAATAATTTGCATTTGTTTTCATGTTCTTTTTGTACAAAAGGTGGAAAGATATGGGCTAGACAGTAATACAGTTTGTTGATTTAGAACAGGTTGAATGGCAGTGATTTGATGTTGACTTGGAAGGATATCTCTAGTGGAATGGCCCTGTACTACATCATATTTTTGTCTTATCAGGTGAACAGAGGTCATAAGGCAGAGAGGGATAGCTATTACACTGAATGCTAGAATCCCGAAAGATCTTGACAGGCCAGAACATTGGGCCTAATAAAATATAAAATATGTTCAGATGTATCTGTAATCTTTTTGGTGAGGTTATTCCCTCCAGAGTTAGAGATCACAGTCTGTTTATGCCTGCCCATCTGCACAACTGTTGTCCATAATCTACCATAAATTCACCACAGAGCCTCTACCTAGTGATGCAGAAGTTGGTCACCTTCTCCTGATGTCTCAAGGAAGCCAACAGAACACACAGGGGCTTTTGGCTAGCCTTTGTGCTTGCCATTGGACCAGTCCACCTTAATTTTCACTCAAATTTCTTTGATGACATCCTTTATTCTGTTTTCTCCTTCATAATTTCTTGGCTCATGCTCATTCTACGCCTCTTCATTACCCTTGGGGTAAGCCTCAATTTCAGTTCTTTGGTGACTACAGTGTTCTATAACTCACTGTCAGAAAAAAAATATTTTAAAAGATAGGTTTTTGTTTTAAAGAGAAAATTGCAGTCATTAAGGAAGCTTTGCAATTTCCTGAAGACAGTTTAGCAGTCAACACCAACCAGGTCATCCGCCAACAAGAGCACCTAGATGATTACAAGTTCCTGTTTGGAGAGGTAAAGAAAGGAGTTGGTGAAATTTATTTTTACTGTATGTCCAAGTGTGACAAGACTTTTCGTCATCTTGGACTTTGGACTTGGACTTTTTCGTCATCTAATATTATAGTGCTAAGTATTTGCATGAAAATAATTATAATTTATGTGCTAATTATGTTTCAGAGGATGAAGAGGTAGAGAAATCCTATTGAGAACTTGATAAGACCTCCAAATTAAGTAAAAAACATTCTTTGATACAATGTGATTTTAATGCAACAATATGAATATTTTAGGTAAAGGTGGCAAAAACATGTATTGGAAAATATGGATCAGGAGAAGGGTCAAAGTCTTATAGATGATGCAGAAGCTTCATGGCTGTGCAGTGCTCAACATGGTAAACACTGATAACATCAGAGAACATGTACTTGATTATATTTTGACAGATAGGAAGTGACTCTTTACTGATAGATTTCTTCCTGGGTCAGCCTTCTGTGTATAGTCAGACCACCACCTTGTCAAAGCAAATATAAAAAATGAACATATAGGTAAAAGAAAGTAAAAATTCAATAGTGATGAACATGTAGTTGGATTTAAAGAATTGACTTCACAAGTACGCTATGGAGGAAATAGTAACTCGTCTGGAAAAGATGGGGGTGTTGCACACTGCAAGCTTAGTGAGTCCACAGTGCTATGGAAGCTAAAAAAGCTAATGTGATGTGGGAGGCACAGATTCCAGGATTAAGGAGATGACCTGTTGTACTCTGCCCTTGTTAGGTCTTGGCAGAGTATTGTGTTCGGTTCTGGCCCTACATTTAGGAATGACGTTGACCTGTAAGATTTAAGTTGGTTGAATGCACAATCTCTTTCTTTTATATGTATATACAATTAATCTTTATATGTGTATATATACACATATGACTGTGTGTTTATATGTTTTTATGTATACTTATACATATCTGTGTGTGTGTGTGTGTGTATCCAAGGTGCTTAACATAGTGCCTCTGACAGAGTTGTTCAATCATTTCAGTGGTGTCCAACTCTTTATGACCACATTTGGGGTTTTCTTGGCAAAGATATTGAAATGGTTTGCCGTTTCCTTCTCCAGCTCATTTACAGATGAGGAAACTAAGGCAAATAGGGTTAAGTGACTTGCTCAGGGTCACATGGCTAGTTGAGTGCCTGAGGCCAGATTTGAATTCAGGCTGTAGCAAAGGCACATAGCAAAGGTCACTGATGCTCATCACAGGCCGTGGAGAATTGTCCGGTACTCACCCACTTAGTGTTCTTTGGTCCTCAGCCAGGACTTCACATCCTTCGGAGCCTCATTGGTGAGGGTCAGGGGAGGAGTACAAAGTCTTTACTCCATAACAGGCCTCTGAGGAAGTGCCTTTTCTTTTTCTGTAGGGGCTTGGGAGACACTTAAAAGCTAGTTCTGGTTCATCTTCCTCTGCATTGCCCGTGCTCTACCTTCAGCAATATCATTCATTTCTAGTCCTGCATGACCAGACCAGTTGTTCTGGGCTTGACCAGTCCTCTGGTAGTTTATGTTCCGTTTTGGAACAAAATGACATGGACACTCATAGATCTTTCAACAGTTAGTGGAAGATTTACTTACCTATGGCAGGAGAAAGATACCTGACAAGGTTGTGCAGCATGGACACCTTGTTGATTGAGCCCAGTGAAACTCACTTGCCTCAGCTGCCAATTGTTTTCCACCAGCCACGCATTGGAGAGCACCTGGAGCAGGATTCTTGTGACTGCTTTGAGTTTAGGAGACTAGGAAGTGATGTCACCGGCCTGAGCCTTGAGCCCTTTGAGCCATAACAAGACATGAGGAGACTACTTTTATGGGGCAGGACATGGCTCCTACCAGACACCCTGTTAATGGAATTCAGAGATCTTGGTTTGAATAAAGTAGACATTATTTCCAAATAATCTTCTTTACTATTCGTAATACAATTGATAGATGTTTCTAATTGGCTTTTATTCCTGGTCAGTATAGAAAATATTTCTATTCTAGTTTTAAGAGATTTTAATAGGGATCTTTTGAATTTTAGAGACTGGAAACATATTAAAACAATTTGCTTTATGTGTTCATCTAAAGAAAATCCGCCTCATTAATTACAGACAATTTACTGACTTAGTGAGGAGTCATTGTGTCTGGAAAATAGCCTATTAAATCTAAATGACTCTTAGAATTTAACTTTGAAGGGAGTGTGGCACATTACTTTTTAATTGTTTTTAAAATTTTTAATTATCCATAAGCTCCTGTGAATTGTTTTTTTAGTCTTAGTTTTAAAAGAACTTTGTTGGGAGTTCTTGTGAACATAAACAAGGAAATAACTCAATGGAAATACTTTTGTGTTAAGATTCTGAAAAATTTCACTTAGGTTGTGAAGTTAATTTCGTCATTCACATTATGTTGACCCTAGATTAGCATGATTGGAACACTTGGAACTGTTTTGAAATCCCAGTCATTGACAGTTTTTGTCATTTGACTTGTATAATTTTTCAACTTAAGAAAATTCTTCAATAAAAATATTTTTCTCAAGTATCATTTAGAATTCTGAAGTAGGCATTCTATTGTTCTGGGCTAAGACTAACTTGGGCCAGTTCTCTGGTAGTTTATGTTAAATATTGGAACAAAATGAGACACCTTTAGGTGATTCAGCCCTAAGCAAAAGGAGATTTACTTAGCCTTTGCAGGCAACAACCTCAAGTTGGTCAACTGAGAGAAGCTTCCCTGCCTGAGTTGCCATCATGGCCTGCCAACCAGTCCTCAGATAGCCAGCCCTGGGAGCCCCTTGTTGCTGTCCACTGCTCTGCCAACCAAGAAATGATGATCCTTTAAGGTCCCTAAGCCAATCAGAATCCAAGGATGGCCTCACTACCTTTTATGGGAAAAGGGATAGGCTACTAGTCCTGTGGTTATGAGAGAACATGTATTACTTTCCTCTCAGTAAGTTTCATCTAAATCTGCCTGTTCTCCAAACTGTCATTTCTTAGGGAACAATATTTCATATCATTTCTATACCATAATTGTTTAGCCATTCTCCAATAGGTGGGCACCCCCTTAAGTTTCCAGTTTTTGGCTGCTATGAAAAGAGCTGCTATAAATAGTTTTGTATGTATAATATAGGTCCTTTTCCTCTTTCTTTGATCTCTTTGGATTATAGGCCTATTTGTAATTTGTAATATCATTGGCCTAAAAGATATGGCGCAGCTTGGTGCTTTGGGGGTACAATTTCCAGCATGTCTGGGCCAATTCACAGTTCACCAGCTGCATCAATGTGCCTGTTTTCCTGTAGCCCCTCCCCTTCAACATTTGTCATTTTCTTCATCTGTCATCTTTACAAATCTGATAGGTATGAGTAGAACCCTGGAGTTGCTTTAATTCACAGTATTTGATGGTTTGAAGTAGTTTTTCATATGGTTGTTGATAGTTTAGATTCCTTTTAAAACTGCCTGTTAAGGGTATTGACTTTAAAAAAAACATTTTATTTATCAAAAACAGTCACATACATAAGTACATTTATTATTATAATATCACAACATTTAAATTTTTCTTCTATATATACCCAATATAATAATAATAATTTTCAATGATAGGATATATATGTATATTCAAGGAATTTCAACTTCAGTTCATCTAATGTTTCTTAAGTTTTGTTTTCAGAGTACTGTTCTGATTTTTGGGAGAAAGATGAAGTTCTGATATGACATCGTCATATCTTGATTAACTTAGGTGAACTCTCAATATCAGGTACTCTCTGGTAGCTAGGTGGCATAGTGGAAAGAGTATTGGCCTGGAGTCAGAAAGACCTAAATTCAAATCTGACCTCAGACATTTAATAACTGTGTGACTTGAGAAGTCACTTATTTCTTTCTGCCTCTGTCTCCTGTGCTGTAAAATGAGGATAGGAATAGCCCCTACTTCGCAGGGTTGTTATGAGGATCGAATGATATAATACTTGTAAAGCCCTTAGCACAGTTCTGGTACATATTATGCACTTAATAAATGCTTTTTTCCTTCCTTTCTCCCTCTCTGTAGTTTGCTGAAGTAGCAGTTGAGTGAACAAAACAAGTTAATGCAGGATAAGTTTAACATTAGCATTTCAGATTTTCTCTGTTTTAGACTGGTATATACAGTCAATGCTATTTGGCAGCTGAGGGGCACCAGAGCTAGTTGGTGATGACATTATTTCACTCCCTACCATATGTACCTCAATTTCTCTTTTCTACTTTCTTTTTTCTACTTTTCTGTCTTCTGCTAACTTTTTCCCTTGGCACCTGCTAGCGGCATGTTAATTGCTTAGCTTTACAAGTGGCAATTAGGAATAAAGAGGTTCCTGAACTGGGCTGTAGGGATTGACCTATATTTCATTTTTAGATTATTCCTATGAAGACTAACTTTTAACTTTTAACTTTAAACTTTAACTTTGAAAGTTTGTGTGAATTTTTGAGTCTTTTTTAAAAAAATAAGTTTAATATAGCTTTCCTTTGGGCTCTTTATTGACATTTTGAGTGTAATAAAGGATTTAGTCTTAATTTTGTTTCAAGAAATTATTGATCCATGCCATATAAATAACTGGTGAATTTCTGTGTTAAATAAATGAATGTAATATTGGTCGTTTTCCACCTACAGAATGTTGACCTTTGTTCCTCTTTTTAAAAAACAAAATAGTATGAAGTATTCAGAATAGAAGAGGAAGAAAAAATAAAATCAGAAGGACAAGACGTCACAGAATCAGTGTATTTCATGAAACAAACCATCAGTAATGCCTGTGGAACAATTGGGCTGATCCATGCCATTGCTAACAACAAAGACAAGATGAATTTTGGTAAATGATTTCTCACACCTGGTATTTTTTCTTTGTAGTTTTAAATTGATTGCTTTGGACAGTAGGTGGTGCTCTAATTCTTCTTACTCTAGCTTAGAACTATCGTTAGCTAGAACAAGGTATTTTTTTCTGTCACCTTTTTGCCAAAGGGAAGCCAGTGCTTGAACATAAGCTTTATTTTTTCCTTCCTAATGTTCTACAGATAAACATATTCTTTCAAAAGAACAGCATAACGAAGGAAGGAAGGGAATATTTATTAAGCATATGCTCTGTACCAAACACTGTTCTAAATGACATAAAAAAGGTGACATGTCAAATTTATTCTAAAATTCCATTTTCTTCTTAAACATGTGTTCTCCATAGTTTTTTAATACTCTTTTGAAAAAGTGCTGACAAAAATTAATTAATTAAAAAAGAAAGAGTGCTGGTATTTGAAAAATTATGTTAATTTTTTTAACTTTAAAAGATTAATCATACCACTTTTAAGAAACTTATTGTTCTCTCAAAGTAATTGAATATCAGTGGTAACAATGCTAGGAAATGAATTTTTACCTTTTGTTTATATGCTATTAAAAGTCAGTTTTGAGATACACACACACACACACACACACACACACATATGTATACACACACACTTATTTACCTGATTTACTTGTGAAAGAATTTAGGAGAGGAGGAGGATTTTATGTAATAGCATCATCATTTTTAAAAGTTAGAAAGTGATCATTCAGTCCAACCTCCTGTCCAAGGGATGAATACTTGTTTTAATGTGCCTGATTTGTACACCTCCAATAATAGTGACGTATTACCTCATTGGGCAGCCCATTTTACTTTCAAACAGCTTTGATTGATAGGAGATTCTTCCTTCTATTGACCTAAAATCTACTTCTCTGTGACTTCTCTTCTCTGGAGCCTAGAAAAAGTGGGATCCTTCAATCATTTAGGAACTATTTATGTTTTATCTGCTTTCCAAATAAAGGCTTATAGAAATTTCTCATTGTCATTTTTAATACTTTTAGAATCTGGATCAACATTGAAAAAGTTCTTGGAAGAATCTCTAACTATGAATCCTGAAGAAAGAGCCAGATACCTAGAAAAATATGAAGTAAGTACCTTTTTATTATTATTTTTCATACACAGGTGAACTGTTCCAGAAGGACAATATATATATATATATATATATATATATATATATATATATATATAAATATAAATGTTTTGTAACTATATGCAAGAGGTATTACTCTTACCTACCAATGGCCATGTGTAATACACCTTTCCTCTCTTCCCCTGGCCACTGTCAGGTACTGCTCCAAGCCAAGGCCTGAGGCAACAGCATTGGTGGTGGTATTGAAGGAGGGAAAGGTAAACCTCATAGTTCTTTCTCTCTTATTTGCTCCTTACCACTGCTACTGGCACCTTCAGTCCTAGCATTGGTCACCTCAGCAGTATTCCTATTCCTATTTTATTTTGTCACACTTCATCTAGACACTCTATACCTCTTTGATGCTTTTGGCCCTCCAGCCCCCAACTTAGCTTCTGTGACAATGCTTAAGAGAACATGAATTGGATTTTCCTCTAAAATGAGGTTAAAGTTTGTTCACCTTTATATAAATGCCCATAATTAGCACTTAGGTGTAACTTTGTTTTCCTTGGTGGGATATAAATGAAAGAAAAAGAAGAAAGAGGTCCATAGGAAGGTACCTTTTTATTCCCTGTGCTACCACTTGTTGCAGTGAAAAATAAAACGGTGGGCCAGTCCCTGGGGCTCAAGGAAGGAAAGGAAGGAAGAAAGGGGGTAAAAGAGCATCAGAAATACAAAGAAGCATGGCTTGATAGCAGTTAATTTGAAAAAGACCTGGTGGTTTTAGTGTATTACAAGCTCAACATGAGTCAGCAGAGTAAAATAGCAGCCCCAAAAGTGAATGTAATCTTAGTCTTCACTAAGGTAGGCATGTTTAAAAAAGGAAAGAGGAGACAAATTGATACCAAGACCTATTCTTGAGGGTTTAACTCCATCTTCCCAAAGCTTTTATTTGGAGTCCCTCTTTTTAAACCTGACTCCACCTCCCCCCCCCCCCCCAGGTCCTTTTCCAAGCTCTCACCTTTTTTCAGCTATACCAGCTTCCTTTCACTAGTTCCTCACTTACTCTTCTAGAACTGTTGCACTGGGAGCTACCCCTGTAGTTTGACCCTGGAATAATCTCTATGCTCACTGTTCAGTCTGTGGGAAAAGTAAGAGGAGGGAGGATTCTGCAGATCTGTTCCAAGGGTACATTATCGGTAAAGGGTAGGTAGGTAGTGGTTTGTGCTACGTAATGTTCTGTATTGTAGAAGATGTTTATTTATAGCCCAGTGTAGTACCTTAGTGGGTTGTAACTATTAAACATACCATCTAACATCATAAAATCTACATTTAAAAAAAATTGTTCTAGTCTACTTTTCTTTATTCAAAACTATTTCTAGGAAGTAAAAGCAGCTTGTTCCATAAGTTTTACTATATGCTTATTTTCTTCCTTCCTTCTCATCTTTACCATTCTCTCCCTTAAACAAATATATGCCTGTCAGCACCCTCTATGTTCAGTAACATTTCAGACCTATCCAATGGAAGAGGGTAGGATCACATACTTTAAAGTCAAGCGTTAGACCATATACTAACTCTCTAATTAGTATATATTCTCAGTACTATTCCTAGACTTGTCCTATTTTTTTTTGAACAGATGGGTTGCATAATTCTACTTTTCAGTATTTCAGTGATTTATGTAACAGTAGAACTTAAAATTGAATCTTAAAATACAACTGATAAATTTAAATTTATTTTATTAATGATGCTTGAGTTTTCTTATTTACCCTGTTGTATTAAGTATGTGTTGCCTTCTGAAAAGTAACACTTATTAACACAGATTATAAGCTTCTTAAATACAGAAACTTGGTTCTGTGATTTTCCTATCTACCATAGCATCCATAGTAGACACTTGGTAATGTGTTGATTTGATCATGTTATTTCTGAATGCCAGCACACTTATGATTTTTTTTTTAATTTTGAAAAGCTGCAGATAGCATGCCAAGCTTTTTTTTTTTAATAATTCAAATTAACATGGTAGTTCCAAACTTTTTCTGCTTGCCTGTGTCCCCTTTAAAACTATCTTCTGTCTTTTTAATGGTTATTTTTAAGTGATTCATTGATATTCTTTGCTGTCATGTTTATCCTTTATAGAATTTGCATGACACATACTTTAAGTTCAAGTATATAATTTCATCCAGTTATCCACATCAAAACATGTGCACGTCTTGCTATTTCTTTCTTTTTTTTGTCCTCTTCTTTCAAACAGAGAGGAGTGACAATGACCAAATTGTCACATGGGGTGGGGTGTTCTTATTGGTGAGTTACAGAAATGAAGAGGTCTTTTTAGAGTTTTCATAGGATCTGGAGCGGGATGAGACCTTAGAAATCATTTAGTCTGTACCACTTGTTTTACAGGTAAGAAAACAGAGGCCCTAAAGAGGTTAATTGACTTGACCAATATCAAGAAGATAGTAAGTTGCAGAGCCAAAATTAGAATCAAGGTCCTTTGCCTCCAAATCTAGTGTTCTTTTCTTATTGCCACTCTACATAGTTTGCTAATAGTCTTGAGTTATTGTTAAGAACCACTTTTTAACTCTGAAGTTTAAATTCTGTACCATCAGAGAAACAAATATTTACAACACCACACTTGTGAGCTGATTGATGATGACATTGCACTTGTAAGAACTAATATATCTTGACCTGTGTTGGAGCATAGCTTGTTTATCTTTAAATACAAACAGATGAGGTAAGCCCTTTTGGCATTAGCACCTCTCTTATGTTTCGTTGAACAATGCTGAAATAAGCACCACCAACTCTGCTATAGTCTGTCAGAATAAAATGAATTTGCTAATGATCACGGGGGTTTCATTAATTGACTGAGATAAGTATAAGTTGCTTATGTCTAAAGGTTATTAAAAATTCTATAATTTTCTGATTTGCAGAGGACAAGACTGAGCTTTTTCTGTGGGTCTGGGATGACATAGTGTTTTAGTTAAGGTACTCATATGTTGCTATGAGACACCTAACTGGGAAGCCTTTTAGACTTTTGGAAAGGACTGCAGAGGTCATTTAGCACTACCTAAACCTGAAGTGTCCACTAGAACATACCCAACAAGTTTATTCATCCTGCCTCTGCCTAAAGACATTGAGTAATTACTCAAGTCACTTTATCACCTTATCTTTTGGGGCTTAAGCTTTCTCACCTGTGAAATGAGAGGGTTGAATATGGTATAATGGAAAGAGAACCTGAATTCAAATCCCATCCTTATTGCTTACTACTTAAGTTCTTGGGGAGTTGCTTCAGCTCTCTGGGCATCAGTTTCTTTATCTGTAAAACGAAGGGGTTTGGCTCCATGACCTCTGTCATCTCTCAGTTGTAGATCTATGATTCTAGTAGCTCTAAGGTTCTTTCTATCTCTACATCTTTTGAGTACATCCTGAGGCAGTACATTTCGTTTTTTGGACAGCTGTAGTTGTGAGCAATTGTTTTCTTACATTGAACTGAAATCTGCCTCCCTCCAGCTTTTACCCATTAATCCTAGTTCTCCATTCTGGGACCAAGCAGAATGAAATTATTCCCTGTTATTTCCATGCCTACCCTGATTGATTATTGTTTACAAGTCTTGCAACCTTAACATTGTCTTATTCTATTCATTTACAAAATTGAATGTGGTAATTGTTCCTTAAATGCCATGTGTTCTCATTTCAGGCTATTCGAGTTACTCACGAATCGAGTGCCCATGAAGGTCAGACAGAGGTATTTCATATTTCCTTATGTTATTCTTTCCCTATTTTTGTCTTAATTTAGCTTCTGAGCTTAATTATCTTTTGCCATCAATGGCAGAAATTGCCCTTTTCTAGTTTTACACATTAGTGTAACTAATCAATGACTAAGCTTTCATTGGTTTGTTTTAATAGTTGACTTGTTACATCAGACATAGCTGTGGAACATCACAAGGATCTTATAACATTTAGAGTTGTTCACAACACATTCCAAGTACGTGTTTCTTTAAGTAGCAGCATGTTACTTTGGCATCTCATACCTCACATTTTGTTTAGTTCTTTAGACTAATCATGATGATTACTATGCTGTGGTAAGTATGTCCAGGTGGCATGTAACTTTCTTCTCTGTATGTGAAAGGTGATTCCAGATATGTGATACCTTTGCAGGCCTTTCTGGTAGTGAACTTCTCTTCTGCAGCAGCTTGCTGTGTCCCCTCAGTTGGACACAAAAGAACTGTTGTTACAGACAAATGAGATTATAAGTGAGTTGTAAACCAAAAAATATGATTATTATTGTTAAATCTACTTTCAAGCAATTCATGAATTTTTCCAGACCTTGGGCAATGTGACTATAATGCACTACTTTTTTTTTTCCTGATTGAGTAGTTTCTGAAACCTGTGGTTTTTGGACTTTTAAAAATGTAGTTCTCTAGAATGCATAATATCTAAGTAAAACAATTTATTGACTGAAATAATTGTTATGTAATATACAGTTCTTGTGTAGTTAAGACTAAAATGTCTCTTTCCCTTGAACAGAGATAAATCATTGAATATTCATGCTGGAGGTTCATGTTTTCTAGAAATCTAAATATTTGTCCAGTTAACTCTAATGGATATAACTCCTGAATGTATATTCATACATTTAGAGCTGGAAGGGACCTTAGACGTCACCTAGTCCATGCCTCGTATTTTACAGATGAGGAAACTGAGGTCCAGAGAGTATAAGTGACTCGTCCAAGGTTACTTTTAAGTAACTTGGAAGTAACGTTGGACAAGTCACTTAAACTCTCCAGGCCTCAGATAATTAGTGTCAGAATTAGAATCTAAACTAGGTCTTCTAATTCTAAATCCAGGGCATTTTCTGTTCTTCCATATTGCATCCCTTGGGAGTTACTTCTTGAGGTTTGCTTTCAAGTAGAGGGGTCTATTGCTTTTGATATTTTAGTTTGTTTTTCCCCAGTGTTGGGCTTCTCACCTTTTAAATATCTTTATTACATAAGAAAATGTCAAATCTAAATAGCTTAAACAGAAGATTAGGGCTTGGTGGAATGTGTGGCCTCCACCTTATATTGCTTTATGTAATTTTAAAGAGATTATATAAGTTTATTGCATTTTTGCTTTTCACAATAATATACTAGTAGTAATACAGATAGTTATTAAAACTATCACAGGATTATTTTGAGGAATAAAAAATGCAAATGCCTAAATATTATTATTAGTTCTTGTTTGAGGTGGTAAAATTGCTTTCACAATGTTCAGTTCACCAAATGTTGAGTACCTCTTATATGTCTACCACTAATCCCAGGCCCTTTGGGCGGGGGGGGAAAGAAGGTTTAAGATCTAGCCCTTCTCCTTAAGAAACAGAAATTGGGTGGATGGGGGAGTTGAGAATGGAAAAGGATAAGTCACATGTAGATAAATAGTTGTTTATAATGACAAAGGACAATATAATTCCAGTGTCCAAATGAGTAACACTGATGAGTGTAGTAACATTTTGGTGAAGAGAAAGGTTGCTGTAGATTTAAATAGGAGACCTTGGACTGTAACTTGAAGGATCAATAGTAGGCAGAGGTCCAGGGAGGGAGGGCATTCTGGGAAGAGGCTAACAGATAGCAGGAGCATACCATACCATGAACACTGTCATCTTTGTGCTCTAAAGGAGAGTGTGTGCATGTGTGTGTGTATGTGTATGGATAATTTTTTTGGCAAATAGTATGATTTCACTTGAATTTTGTAATTGAGGTTAGTCATAGATTTTATGAGATACATTGTGATGTAATGGAAACAGCCCTGGACTCAGTGAAGAGAATGGAGTTGAGTTTAAGTGTTACCTTAGATACTTATTAGTTATGCAACTCTGGGCAAGTCATTTAACTTTTCTGAGCCTCAGTTTCCTCCACTGTGAATGGGGATAATCATAGCTTTTTTTATAGGGTTCTGAGTATTAAATAATATAATATTGTAAACCTTAAAGCACTATGACTATTATAAATTGAGAATTCAGCTTAATACATATTAATTAAGCAGCTGCTGTGTGTAAGGCATTAGAGACACAAAGGTGAAAAAAAACAATCCCTTTCAAGCAGCAGACTGTGTGTCTACTACAGAGGTAATGACATACACAGCTATATGTATAGTACAAAATAGGATATGTTTGGGATCCAGACAAATTATCCTAGGAATATTTGAGGAGGGAGGGAAGGCCTATAGTCAGGAAAAATGATTAATAGTAGAGTGTTAATACTACTTCTTGATGGTGATCTGAGGAGTATCCTTGTACGTGAGACAGTACGAATACTTGAAACATGGAAAGAGAAATTGTATTTTGGTACCTAGGTAGAAAAATCACTCTGATCAGAGTAAGAGGAAGCTTGCTTGGAACAAAACCAATATATATTATATTGACTTTGCCATAATTTCAATTTATATGACCTCCGAATTGGAATTACTTTGTATAACTAGCCATTTTATATATGTAACCTTAATCACTTTGTGATCACTTTTCTAATGCCTAATTTCTATTTTTTTTTGCTTCAACATTATTTTTCTTAATTAACAAGCTCTTATTCTCTCTTTCTCCTACTCCCTCGTTAAAACAAATATATAGAATTCCCCACATATACATATTCAAGCAAAGCAGATTCCCTCGCTGATCAAGTCTAAAAATGTATGATTTGTTCAGCTTTTTAAGTCTATCACTTATCTGTTAGGAGGTGAGTAGTGTATTTCATTTTCATCCCTTTGGAGTTGTGATTTGTTATCAGGACTATTTTGGATTATAATCCTCTCTCTTAAGATACTAGTTTCTTCTCACAATTTCATATTATTCACAGGCTCAGTGAGCATAATTTATATAACATCATGGATAAAAATGTTAATAAGACCTCTAAAGAATAGTCAGCTTTTACATTAAAAATTTTTTTTGGATGTCTTTTTTGTTTTTACACCTCAGTACTTTCAGGGTGGCCTTACTATATAAGCCAGGTTGACAAGTCACCAAGCATTTATTAAGATCTTAATATGTGCCAGACACTGTGCTAAGCACTGAATGTATTTATGATATGTAGCATATCATAAATATGTTTTAGTAGAGGTAGTTTTATGACTAGGACTTGTTAGTATGTTCACTATAAACTCTCATGAGTGAGGGCCCTATTCCAAATTTAGTGGATTCTTTCCTGTTGAAATTACTTTATAGTAAAGAATATGGATATTGCAAATGTATTTTTTTTATGACATGTAGAAAATTGATTGGAAAAGAAGCTTTTTCTTTTGAAAACTCTTGTGCTTTTTGTTATCCAAGAGACCTTTCACATCTTAAGACTTCATAGACTGTGGGTATAATTTTGACTTTTGTTGACCTTAATTCTACCACTCTGGCTATAGCCTGAAAGGGTCCACTTTATACATACCTTATTGAAGGTATGTTTTGGTTTTGTTTTTGTTTTTTAATTTTTGGCAAAAATAAAACTAGAAGGGGAGATCCAGGGAAAGTGACAATAAAAATAAGGAAATTTAATTTTCATTGGTGGCTACCAAAAAAGCCTAATGCAGCTTTTTTCTTTGATACTTGATGCATCTGTAATCTTATCCATATGAGTAATCCTTCTAGTGATGCAGAGTACAACCCATCCATGCCTGTCCACCTTGTGTGACTTTTATTTGTGCAAACCTAGCACAAAAGGTCCATTCAACATGCCTGGGTTCCTTAGGATATCTTGACATTGCATGGGTATCAGTGGAGCATGCAGGTTGTCCACAGGGTATTAGAAGCCAGAAGACTGACTTTAAAGTCCTAGAATCTGAGTTTGAATCCAAGCACTGCTCAGGTCACCAGGGGCAAAAAATTTAACCTCTCTGTGCCACAGTTTCCTCATCTGTAAATTAAGAGGGTTAGGCTTTCTAGGCATACATCCCTGATGACACCCTTTGTTCCACTTCTGTGCAATCTTTCATTGGTAATGTGTTGTAGTTAATGACCACCATACCTTCTCCATTGTCCTATAGGTAATTTTAACCCTTCATTCATTGAAGACTAATATTTCCTAACTTGCAGCCATATAACTTCGGTGGAAGAATATTAGTGTTAAAAGGATCTTGACTTTCATTTCTGGGAGAAGCTTTGGGTCATTAATAGAAATATTAAATTTCTTAAAGGCAATCTAACTTGCATTCTTCCTCTTATTCAATTCTAGGACCAGCTCATTGTCCATTAGAACCTACTCTGCTTTTTGGTTGTTTACTGTTAAAAAATATCTGATTTGGTAGAACAAAATGTTACCTTAAAGGTTTTCCTTCAGCTAGGTCTCTCTCAGAGATATATATCAGAATCGTACAAGATCTTCAAAAGATATAACAACAGAAATAACTTTATTCTGATTGTTAGTATCAAACGAGACTTAAAACAGGGAGAAATTTGCTTGACAAAGGTATTTGTCACTAGCTTGGAGGATGTCTATTACAAAGAGTTCAGAATGAAGAGAAATTCCCTCTACTTGGAAAGGTCTGTCACATTCTCCTGTTCACAGACAACATTACGCTGACTTCATCAAAGATAGCAACATTGCAGGGACTCCTAAATGAGACCCATAATCATTGAAGAGAGTTTGGCCGAACTAATCACACAGGGAAAAAAACTAATGAATGAAGAGTATATATTGATAGCTCAGCCTGATGTGCAGTTGAGTAGACAACCCATAGAGCTAGTTCATTAGTACATATAATTTGGAAAAACCATGTAAAGGCAATCTTAGC